CCTTGTTCTTCTTTTTTCCTTATCAGATTGACTTTAAATTTGTAAGAAACACAAAGGGAAAAGCACAAGCATTAGCAGTTTCTCTTTCAACAAATACATAGTCTTTCTTCTACAGCTACTTATTTATTCAGTCTCTCAGTGTCTCATAGATCACAAGAAGTAGAGAGTCTCTAGAGAGAATTAGACGGCTCTGATTCTACAGAATCCATCATATTTCCAGCTTTGTTCATTTTGTCTCAAACAATGCATGCATGGATGTATCATTACTCACCAAGGACAGGGCTAGTCGTGGGTATCAGGAGGACAGCTCAAAGTGGCTTCTCTGTGTCTGGGAGCAACTGAAAATCATTCCTTGGGGTTTTATAAACTTGCAGACTGCATAAAATATGTCTGGGATCTGGAATCCAACTGAATGTAGCCAGTCCCATTGAATTGTTGATATCTACAGTGTGTTAGGATTTGTTTTGGAATAAATACTCTGTGTGTAATTTGTTAGCACATATTCAGACTGAAGTGTGAAAGCAAATTGAAGCCTATCCCAATGTAGTGACTTGAAAAGGCTCAGAAAGGTACAGGCAAATACAAGTGCTGATTCTGCAGTGGCTCTTGAGAAGATGTCTCAGATAAGGTGCATTAGCTCTGGATCCTAGGCTAGCATTCAGCAGTGATGGGGGAATGGAGAAGTAGCTTTGTTTGTCTGCTATTCTCCCAAGTGATTGCTGAATGATTTAGTGTGCCTGGAGTGTTTTGCCTTGTATTTCTAATGATTTTGCCTTTTCTCCTTCTGTTTAGTTTGAAACAGGCTGTGTCTGTTAATTAGGAAATGTAAATACCTTTACAGATTGGTGCATTTGGATGCATTTTTGAAAAGCGAATGCCGTAACCAAGCTAGCAGAAAATACAAGCAACTATTTATGCTCACAATTATCTTATAGCCTGAAATATCCATTTCTGTTTACAAGTATAGCTTTTAAAAGGAAGGAAACATCAGAAGATTTGTAACCTGAAATGGAACATAAATTCATATAAAAGTTAGTAGCTTGTGGCTTTGATTCCTGGCTGCAGGAAAGACAGCTTCTCACTCCACGAGCTCCTGTAGTGGAGGGGGTTGTCAGAGCCTTGGAAGCTGTTCCTGGAAGCTCGGAAGTTAGTGGTGTTCCCTGCTCTGCCAGGAGGTCCACAGTGCTAGAAGACCCTCGATTATGCAGCCAGGAGGAATAAAACTAATGTACAGGCCTTTAGCACAGACCTAATTGGAGTACTGTGTTCCCAGCCTGTGGGCAATAGCACTAGGAGTTTGAAGCAAATTTTGTTCCAGGTCAGAGTTCATATACATTTTAAAAGAAAAATTTAAAACTAAATAAAAACTGTGTGCAGGTTCTAGAAATATATACTTGCAGTACTTGATTTCCTTTTATAATTGTATTTTACATTCTAAAAATCATTTTATAATTGTATGCATGACACCTTCTGACATTTCAAAAGACATATGAGAGTCAGAATGGTGTTTGGGGTTTTACATGATGTCATGCCCATAATAATGACTGAAATGTTTGTCCTGTTTCTTGAGTCGCAGTGGAGCATCAAACTTTTTATGTGCGTTACAACCTTTGAATTATTTCTAGTACACTCTGATCAAACTGTAAAACCTCCAGCTGTGCCATACCCTGCAGTACAGCATTGTGCTGATCATCACACCAATGCTGTACTACAGGTTTTTCTAAACCTGAAATTCTAGGTTTCTGCAAAATGACAAATTTGGAGCCCAAACTCTTGCCATTTAAAAATTAATTCTCCTTGTGGGAACATCTCTTAAAGTCAACATGTTTTCTGAATGTTTCTCTTTAAACTGTTTCAAAAGATAAGAGAAAGAACAAATGTCATTCTTAGAAAAACATTCAGCACAAATTTTTTTTCGAGGTCTGATGCCAGGGACGGCCCTTCCTCTGAGATTTCCCTGTGGGTGATGAGTTTAGTAAAATGGTAACAGTTTGCTCCTGTGGACTGTCTTTTCTTCTGCCTGCTGTGTGCTTCCTAAATCCCTCTCTGCTATGGAAGGCCACAGAGAGGTTATCAGAACCTTTCTACTTATGAAGGAGAAGTTGAATAATCACTAGCTCCATGTACCCCTCTCCCCAGCCCCTTCCTAGCAGGGTTGTGCTGGGCATTGACTCTTCCCTAGCTAGACAACCCCTCCTCAGTTCCCCACTTGCTGCATTTCTGCCCCTACCAGACCTTTGGAGCACTGATAATCTTGAAAACTGAAGGAGGGCAATTATCCTTGCATTTCCCCCCCTTGTTATTAATCCTGCTCTTCTCTCCTTCCCGAGATAAATGCCTGCACCTTTGCTCACAACCTGCTTCAGGCTCTGCTGATGTCCCACCTTCTGGGACCAACATCTCCTGTGCAGCCACCCCTGACGGGCAGCACCATCTCCACCCATGCATGACTCTCACTGCTCTCCAAAGACCTCACCTTGCCCTCTGCAGAGCTATGGAGCTCCCTGGGCTGCTTTGCTTTTTTGCTGTCTTTTCTTTCAATTGAGCTGTAATTGGGGAATTGTTTCTTGCTTTGTTTTTAAGGTTAAGAGGCTGAACTAATTTCCCAGGTGTTCCTTATTGCAAATGTCTCTGAAACAAAAGTAAAGTATTTATATGCCCCTTGTTGCTGCTGAAAGCATAAGGGAAACACACTTTCCTTACCATTGTCTGTTTGACATTTGCCATAGTGAAATTTACAGAGGAGCTTGGTATATGGCCCATTTGTGCATCATATTTTATTTTGAACACCACATTAAAACCAAAGGCTCACTGCCTTGAAAAAGTGTTACAAAATTCTGTTACCATATAAACTATATGTTGCAAAACAAGCTGGGGTTTGGTCTCACAGCTCCCACCTCAGGTTGATTTGCTTGATCCTTAGTAATGAAATGGCACCATAAACTTATTTTATGTCCTGCTTTGTAGTACAGTACAGTGGAATAGGTGGCCAACACAGGAAATTTATATCCTCAGTCACTTCACTGTGAAAAGTATGGATCACAAATGAGAATCGTAGCCTCAACATGTCCAATTTACAGACAACAGTGAAAATGGAGATGAACCCAAGTTAAAGTATGAAGAAAACTTCAGTCTTTACCAGCCCGTGATGACGAATGGTGTGATTTGCCTCTGAACAGTGGGAAGGAGTCGAGAGAGTCTCAGACCATCCTCCCACAAACAGTAGGGCACGGGGCTTGTGCGTGTGCGTGTGCTCTTCACAGCAGCACTCTGCAAGCAAAGGCTGAGAGACAGTGCCAGAAAATACAAAGCTCAGCTTCTCGTGCGTGGCAAATGCTGTGTCTGCAGCTCGCTCCTTGCAAATCCTCATGCAGACAAAAGTGAAAGGGTGAATGAGGCATCAAAAATAAGCCTGATACTGCAACTGCCTCTAGCTGTGGCTTTGGAGAGGCTGGAAAACTAGTGATCTGTTAAGTGCTGATGAAGATTGTGATCCCTATATAAAATTATCACTTTTCTCCACTTTTGAAATAGCCAGATCACATTAGCATGAAGCAAGATGGAAGATAATGTTAGCTATGGTTTTGTTTTCCTACTTCAGATTCTGTGGAACATTTTCCTACAGGGCATTCGACAACATACTCATGAGAGATGTGAAAGTTAATGAGGCAAATGTTATTTTTCCTTTATGACAAGTGGTTTGTCTTAAATTTCTCTTTTTCCTGCCTAACCAGGGGTTGTAACACAGTCCTGCAGGCTAGAATACTAGCCCAAATACCAACCATAACAAAGGAAAGCAAACATTGTTTTTTATTTTGGAAAGGATTTGCTTTTCCTTTCTCTTCCCTCTTACTTCCTTGGTGAGTGTTTTCTGCATGACAGCCTGTGACTGTGACTCACACCACAGGCAAACCAGCAGGGCAGGGCCTTTGTGTCACTGCACTCAGCAGGGTCCCCACAGCTATGGTGATGGGAGTTGTGGGTGGGCAGGAGGGATGAGCTGAGCTTGAGTGGACACTGGCTTTCAAATGAAATTGTATGTTCCTGGTGCAAGAGGTAGTCAGTGACTACAGAGCTTGAATAACTGACAGACCATCCTGAGGAATAATAACAGACACTGAGTTGCCTCCCTGTGAAAAACTAATGGAAGAGGAAAGTCTGGAACAAAGTTTCTGGAGATCATAACCAAAGAGCTCTGTGGCATCATGCTGTCATTGGAAAGAATAAGTGGCTGCAGAAAAAAGGAAGGATAAATGCAGAGTTCAGGAATAATCTGGAGAGCTACAGGAGAGGAGAGGAGAGGAGAGGCGAGGAGGCAGAGCCTGGTACATGCTGAAGTCATAGATGAGCATGAACCAGGTATTGGTTTGGCTTTGTTGACAGCAAGACAATGGCCCTGTTGTGTCCTGCATTGGCACCGTGTGTTGTAGGTCTGTGCACTGAATGTGTTGCACCTTCCTGGCCCTGCCTGACTTACTGCACAGGCAGAGACCCACTCTCCTGCCAGGGTGCCACATCCAGCACAGCCCTGACACATCCCCCCTGTTTCTGTTTCCATAGCTAACTTAAATTCGCTTTGTGCTTTCCTACTCCACTTCTCCTCCAGCCCAGGACGAGATTGTGCAGCAAGGCAAGGAGACAGAACACAAAGCTCAGAACAGATAATGTGGGCTACCTGTCTTTGTGCCTTAATGACATTTTTCACTGTGCAGATGACTGAAGAACCAAGGTAGTGGTAGACCTTACAAGCTGCCTTCTGACCTTCTTTAGTGCTGTGCATGTCAGCTCAGCCACATGCACACAGTCGTGCTTGCAGGAGTGGCAGACTGGCATCCAACACAGAAGTGCTGTGTAGCATCATTCTGAGTGAAGCCTCGGGTGTGTTTTGGTGAAATACATTTATTTTGCCATTCTGGTGGGTATCTCAGTGACACAATTCTGCACAATTGCAAGCAGAATTATGAAATAAGTTTCTTTCTAACTTTTTTTCTCTCAAACAGCTCTCAAGAAAGAAGTACAAAAAGACCAGGATGCTAACAGACCAGCTGTCTCATCCCCTAAGAGATCAGCAGTAACAGCCACCAAGCTCCATTCACCAGGTATTTATGAACCCAAAAGCACAGCTTCAGGGAAGATTTAAACTTGTCAAGTTTGCATCTTTTTTTAACACACTAAAACGTGAGATCTGCTGTTGTTAAGTGAAGATTGGTTGTGCCCAAGGTTCATTAAGCTGGCTGTGTGTACAGCAGGTTTTATCATACCAACACATGAGCTGAAGAGACTCTGTTTTTCTTTGCTACAATAATGCAGGCATCTCCTTCAAAATAAAGAGTTGCTGCTATTACGTGTTTAAGGGCACGGGAACTCTTTTATTGTGATTATTATTACAATTTTCTTACATAAAAAGAGAACAGATAGATATACTGAAATGAAAGACACTTCGGACAATTACCTGGGGTGATAGTGTATTACTTGGAATCTACTCTTACTGTCATGCAGAGGCACTGAATTTCCTGGGCTATTTCTATCCAAATACTTCTGAAATGAATTGACATGTTCCCACTGATTTCATTGTTCTTGCAGTTTATCATCTGTTCTGTTGCCTCATTTTTCAGACTACTTAAATAATTTAAATATCTCTACAGCTATATGATATTAAAGTTACAATTATGGAGGGTAGAATCCTATGTTTCTTCATTTGATGATAAAATATGAAAGATGTAGACCAGCTCTTCAGCTCCTAAATCTTGCATCTCTTTACGTTTAATAAACTCAGTCTCTCTTCTTCTCCTTTCCAATCTACAAAACATGAAAATGGAAGGTTAAATTTAATCTTTCCAAGGACCAACAGGACTCAGAATTCTTCTCCTTGCTAAGACACTAGGGTAAAAAGATGAACATAACACTGTCCTCTGAATCATGTAATTTTCAGGCTATTTTGCACCTAGTGGGATCACCAAGAGAGACAGAAAGAAAAATTTGTTGCAGAGAGTGCCAGACCAGCCGCTCACCAGCATTTATAACCATGGGAGTCCAGTTTAAGCACCAGCACTGACTGGGGCTGTAGCAGCATGTTAAAGCATGGCTGATTTGCTTCCACTAGAATTAGACAGCAAAATGAAACACAGGAGTATTTGTCCTGTGTGTTTGTACTGTCTGAAGGAGGTCTCCGTTTCCACAAGTGACTTAATGATTTTCAAGGCTTAAATTGTTGACATATCTAATTCATGAGGCCTCAAAGGTTTCTTCCTTCTCATGAGAGGTAAAGTGCCCTCTCTCCATCAGACTGCTGTGGGATTTCTTAAGCTTGATTGTCTGAAATTATGGTAACCTGAAATTGTTTATAACTGTAAGGATCAAACTGGAAAATGAACTCATCTTCATTTATTATTTTAGAGCAGCCTTTAGCATACTTTGAAATGACAGCAGCAATAACAAAGCAATAAAGGCAGACAATCTTTTCACCTGTTTAACAGTTTCACAAAATACTCAAAGCAGCCACTGAACAGGATAAGGAGTGTAGCTGGGGCTAATGGGCAGTAGCACAGCCTTTCCTCCATCAGGATCACAAACTTGTGCAGCATTCACACTTTGTTATAGAAGAGCATGTGTGTCCCCAGGTAACTTCACCACAGGTACATGTGGTCGTGGAACAGCCTCGAAAATTTCTGAGTGTTGCTTCTAGGTTGCTTTCCCTCTCTTACTGACCTCCTCACACACAGTTCCTTTTAATCAGTGATGGTTTTTGACAGTTATACATAGTTTTTTTTAGCCTTGAATCTGATCTTTAGAATTTGGATCAGCCCTCCTGAAAACTTGCAAGAGAGTTTTGAGATGCAGGGTCATGTGGGGATTTTTATCTATTATCTAAATTTTATCTATTGATGCAATACCATTCCTAAAATCTGTGTATAGCAGCAGGTGTACATAGATGCAGGTGCTCTCCTTTGACTCCGTAGCAGGATGCTGCCATCTGTTTCTGACATCTGTCACTCTACAGATTGCTTGGTATCAATCTTCTCAAACTATTTTCCTCACTTTCCTTACCAAAATGTTGGCAATTGCACAGTTAAAAGGCAGATAAATTGCATTCCCCATCTAAATCCTCATGGACTGTGTTAATTATGAGTATATACTTGTTATGTCTCCTTAGTTCAAACACTCAAGTAGATAAAAAAGACCTGGGAGTTTTGAAGCAGATCAAAGGGGTTCAGTGATTTCAGCATATACTAGGTCTGCCCCCCTGGTCCCACCATCAGCAAAAAGGACATTCAGGATCAGGACCAGCATCATTAATACATACCCTGGTTTGTGCAGGCAAGAGAAGACAGACATCAATGGTAGAATTAGCTTATCAGGCTGCTTTTCAGACCAAAATGAACCAAGAAATTCAGATTTTTCCCTGAGGAGAATAGCACAGTCTAATTTACAAGGACAGCTTATAATACTGACAAGGACAAGATAGAGATGTGCACTTCAAATGTTCCAGGGAACAGGAAAGCTAGAAAGAGATAAGACAAAACAACCTAATGGGTTTCTGTTTTAATCAAAACTGGAGCGATTTCAAGGGCTTCCCCCTACACTTCTCCTTATGCCTTCTGTTGTAACATCATCATGCTGCCTAAACAACACATGATTTTTATACTAAGAAGACAGATATTTATGGCAGTCATTTTTATGTATTTCTTATTTTATGATAATACCTACTGCGCAGTTAAGAGTCCCTTTAAATGAATGAAAGAACCTGTAAGAAAATATCATTCCTGCACAAAGAGGTGTACAGGCTTTAACTGACATGAAAATGGACAGAGGGCAACAGCTATGCTGGTTGAACTCTCTTAATGACAGAAAGTCCTCCCTAACATCCTGTATTGTATTATTTAGGTCTTGCAACATCATGAAGTTGCTCTTGACATATTGCAAAACCTGGTATTCCTCTTTACAAATGCAAGTCATGGGCACAAAAGGTTTCAAAGGCTGTTTTGCACTTGTGACTCTTTGCAGTTGCAGCACAAGATACTTGCAGGCATGAGGGGGCATCTCTGCTGGAGCTAGCTCCCTGTAAGCTTAGAGCCAGAATGTAGTCGAGCAAGTTGGAAGATATGCTCACACTGGCTCCACATAAGATGAGGATCTGAGTAAAGTAGAGTTACACTCCTGGGGCATTACTCTGGCCAAGCTATACTGCTTCCTTGTTTGAGCTAGTAATAATACCCTAAGGATCCATTTGCACACCCAGGACACAGACTTAAAGATCTAAAATAACTTAAAGCACATCTGCCAAAATAACCTCTGGAACAGTGCTCTACTTCACAACTTGACTGAAATTCATACCATCAAATGTATCTCTGTGGAAGGATTCTTCTTCTGGTTTTTAGGAAAGGGGTAGGTAGCATCCACGAGAGAAGGCATTCATTGCTGAGGACTGGCTGGTGACATTGCTTCTGTATTATTTTTCAGGAACTGTATACTACAAGACTACAAAACTATGATAGATTTTTTTTTCCCAGATTCTTATATACCCAACCCTTTCTGCTAACACAGACATATTCATTTTTCACCTGTATCCCAACTGTGTCCACCATCTCTAGTAACATGTGGGAACAAGGTGTCTGACTTGATTCTGTCCCTCTTTCTTACGGACTCTAGCTCCTAGGCTAAAAGCTTGAGACTAGTAGGAAATGCTGAGGAAGAGAACAAGAGATTCCTGGCCAGTATTCAGGAATGAGCCAAAAAGCATCAGCTGAGGAGAGACTGAGGGTAGCAAAAAGTAATCAATCAGTAAGAAGTGCAAAGGTGTTGCCCAGCTGACCATAAATATTTGCAGAGTTCTCAGAAAGCTAGGAAGATAAAGCCAAAACAGGCTGTCCAAGCAGTGGCTTAAGCAACCTGACACTACCAGAACACTACCCTTTCTTGCTTCATCCTCACAGCTTAATAAATTCAGAGAAATGGATAATTGACTTAAGCAGGATATGAACTTAATTTAGGATGAAAGCCTCACTTCCCTGAAGTGGCTTATTGTGAGTAAGCTTTAGTTCTTGTGCCATTCATTTGAGTATGACACTGTATCTGACCTGATATCCTAAAGACAAGCTACACTAGTGGTTTCACATCTTTATACAGAATCGGGCTTGCTTCAGACCAACTTGCAGTACATCAGAGGAGCCAGAGTTAGGACCCATTTCTGCACGAAGACCGTGTAGTGATTCTGCTGTGACTAATGGTGCCACAGGAGCAACCATACAGAGCCAGTGGTGTAACCAGTCAGCATTACATGGTACCTGGTGGCATTTCCATACATATCTGGTTTGTGTTCCAACTTTAGAAGTCTTATAAAGTGTAGAGCAAGGGAACTGGCAAGGTAGACTGCAGTATTATTGATAAAAAGAAAAGGTGATACCCCAGTAGCAAACAACCCATGCTGTGTTTGCATTCAGAGAATGTCCCACGTTCTCCCATTCAAAGGAAATCTGCAAAGGCAGAGGAAATCCAGCACCTCTGTCAGTTCAACAAGCTTGGGGCTCACGTGGCCAAAGAAATCACATGCAGAGTGTCAACGTCGTCCAACTGTTTTCCACATCCAGGATATAATAAGATGAATCTCACTGCCCATTTCTCTCACTGCCGTTTAGAAGAGTTCAGCATCACATGTCAAGATGCAGACCTCTATTCCTGTAGATGTCTGAAGTAGGTGAGATGAATTCCTCCTGTAATTACCTCAGTTCTCAGTAAGACACTTTTAGAAGAGCTCTCCTCAACATGTAGCAGACCTTCAGGCTCAGAGCCCGAGGTGAGGTGGCTGTTACAAAGCTTTGAGCTTTGGCCCCTAGGGAAACATAATTTACTGTGCTCTTGCTTTGTTTTGAAAGTCACTGTGTCTGTGTGAATGCTACAGACTTTTTTTCTTTGTAGGGCTGAGTCTCAAAGGCCTTAGAAACACATAAAGGTCATGTCCATACATGTAAAGTACGTGACTCTGGTGGTGTTTTCTTCTCTCCTTTGTAGGACATCCCAAGCAAAGGCCTGCCACGCCAAAGAATGGATTGTCCCCCAGACCAGGAGAAAGTCGAGACACTGAAAAGCAGTTTGTTCAGAGACTGAAGGAAAAGTGTGATGAGCAGTCCAGGCAGTTAAGCAATATCCGAGATGAGCTTAAAAAGGCCAGCTGTGGCTTTGAGGTCTTTGCTGTAACAACACAGCACTTCTTCAGGCAGGTAAGTGCAATGCAAACTTCTTACCATTGGAAAAATACTTTGCCTTTATACCAGTCACTTCCCCAAATTCATTCCACAGCCATTAAAACTTTGTTCTTGCAAGCAAAGCATGGAATTTCTTTGCAATAGTTACTACTATTATTTGATGCCATGTATTTGAAAATCTAAGTTCAGGAACATGGAAGAGGAAGAGCCGTGACTGAAGCATTTGTCACAAGCATGGAGGAGTTTCAGGATGTTTTTAGGAGTGAAGCAGATGCAGAAACCTAGAAGTCCCAGTCTCTGACAGGAATGGAAATTTCAACTGAGATGTTGATACTTGCCAAAAAATGCAAGAACAATCCATGCATTTAGTTTAGTCAACCAAAGGTGTTCAATGAAGGAAAAGATTTGCTTTCTTATAGTACTTATCTGGTGTTCCTGTTCACCATAGATCAGGCACAATGTCCCTGTTACAGAGGTGCCAGTTCCTGAAGATGTTAGAATAACTTCTCAGCATTTAGGACATTACATTCAGCATATATAGAGAACATAAAGAAAAATTATTCAATAATTACAGAAGCTTATTTTTTCACTACACGTGAGACAAAATCAGTGAGGTTAAGAAGACAACCACAGTAACCATGAACAACTTGTAGGTGTTGCTTGTTTCAAAAGCCATTTAGCCATCTGGAGACTGTAGCTGGGTTCTGAGGTCCAGACCTGGTTCCCCCAATGCCCGTGTATTTTGTACCACCCCAGGTGATGCTGGAGTCCCAACAGTTTTGTAAAACAGGCAGATCACCACCCAAGGTATGGAAAATATCCTTGGTTGCCTCTTTGTCTACTTTGGGAATACACAAGAATAAACTTTTGGTATTAAATGGGAGAAGGAAAACCAAAAAACAAAACACAGATTCAAACTTTTTTTTTTTCCAAATTCTGAAATACTTTATTCAGGTGGTTTTTTGTGTTGGTTTGTTTTGTTTTTTTACATTAGTGGTAAAGGCTACCTTTGAACAAATACCATAGTTCACAATTTTCCCTAAGTACGAGCTGATCTTGCCAGGAGTAGCATTCCTGACCTGAAAAAACAGGGAAATTTGTAAAAGTGCCAAATATTTTAAACACCTTCCCAGGGGGATTTTCCTTCTCTATTTTTCTTTATTCTTGACATTTCTGGGTTTGATGGGCATTTGAATTTTTTTTTTTTTTTTTTTTTTTTTTTTTTTTGAGCTGACTGAGGAGTGTCCTTGATTAAAACAGAGGGAAACAAAAAAGGGCAGAGCAGTGTCTGCTGAGCTTTGTCTATGTGTTGTCCACTGGGGAGAGATTTTTCATCTCATGCCTCATTCACAATTTGCTGAAGAAATTCTGGACGCTTGGGCATAGCTCCTTCATCTCCTCTGGATATGTTTTAAATGAGAACATCTGCTACAGCTGAGCTTTGAGATGACTCTCACCCCATCGGTGCATGTTAGATTGGTCTGAGAATGCCTCCTTAATTGAGCACCTCAGGGGAGTTTATTTAATAGAGTCCTCTCCAAGTCTTGGCTGGGTGTAGCTGTACCTCTTGTTCCCAGCTCCTCTGCACTATTTGCAGCAATACTCCTCTGAGTGCCTGGATGTAAAAAATAAAATACCAGTGGAATTTATGCATCTTCAGGCTTGGGCTGGATTGGATGTAGGTTTTTTTCAGATCCTCTGCTGGACTGCTTACCTGCATTCAGCTTGAGTGTCAGTCCCTTCTGGGCTTGCCTGGTCACCATGGAGTACGTATCTCTGCATATCACTGTGGAGTGGCATGCAAGATACTTGAGTCTTGCTGCTTGCTGCTGGAAGCCACATAACATGGACCTCTCCCAGGCAAAGACACCCCTGGCTTCCCTGGGTGATGAGCAGCACAGTCAGCATGAGCCAAACAGTTCTCCATTAGGCACTCAGATTTGGTACCTACATGAGGAGTATGGTTGCTTTAGGCTCCATTTTTAGTGAATAGAGGCAGGTGAGCACTTCCAGAAGAATGTTTACAGCACCAAAGATATTAATTTTTCCTTGAGGTCCTTGCCTGGCTTGACTGAAGCTTCCAGGGAGGCCTAAGGCTGCTGCACTCTTAAATTCAATTCTTAAGCTGAGGACCTACATGTAGTGGAATGATCTGGGACTACTCAAGCAATTGCATAATTAGGCAATCTGTTGTCTTGCAACATAGACACAGATTTCCAAGTTTTTGAGTGTCTTCCAGAAATACAAACTGTATAAATTTTCTGAGATGGTGTTATTGTTTGAAAGCTTAAGCAAAATGGCATTGGTTGGCTTTAAGGCAGCATGGAAAAAGAAACTTTTCCCATTATAAAAATAATAATAATTGTTTGTGTTTGTTTCTGAGAAGCCTGGAGGCAAAATGGTCGAGGTCTGAGTAGAACTGCAGCTTGGCAAAAGAATAATACGCATTCAGAAACAAGGTGGGGCCTTGTTTCAGACAATTTTGGGGTTGATTTGTCCAGCTGGCAGTTCTTCTCTACTTAGCAGAGGGCCCAATCCTACTTGGATGCTAGGGACCTTTTTGGGCAGATAGTGACCCATAGCCTAATTTTAGTATGTCTCTCTGTCTTCTTACACTACACTAAAATAATGTCCAAACCAGAGACTTTTCTTTGAATTGGAACTGAATTCTGTTGAAAAATATTCTCCCAGACAGCTAGGACTGTCCTGAGTCTTAGAAGCAACCAAAGGACCAATGTTTTGCATACAGGTAGGAATCTCCCCATGCTTATGGCAATTTTGTCTTGCTCACACTGTTTCTGTTCTCTTTTCAAAGCTGAGGAAAGCACCAATGTAAGTGGTTCAAGATATAAGGTGAAGAAAGTGTCAATATGTAGCAATCAGTGTTGGCTCACACTGGCTGTTTCTTTGAGTGCTTTCCAGTTTTAAGCACTTGCTGTAGTAACCTTAAGGTGGCATGAACGTTTCCTTTGTGTTTTGTTAATTTGTTTTCTGGCTGTTCCAGACCATTGCCAAATTATATTCTGGAATCATCTTTTTCTGAGTTTACAATACTCCTGTGAGGCAAGTTTCATTTAATAGGTATCAAGGAGTTTACAACATGTAGCAATACTTAACACAGACCATTAAATCACAGCTAAACCGATTTGCTGTGTTGGGGAAAAGTCAGGCAGTTGAAGCAGGTGATGACTGAGACAGTGGACAAAAAGATCTAAAGCAGTGGTTCTGACATAGAGCATTTAGCTAGTTATGAAAAGTAATGATTTTACTGCTTGTGGTCAGCATGGCTTCTAATTATTATTTAATTAGCAGATTGATTAGTTAAGGGTCTCTGATGTGCATGCATAACTCCTATTGACTTTGGGAGCTGCTTCAAACTTAGTCTGGAAAGGAGCAGACTGAGTTCTCAATTCTTGGATCATCGTGTCAGTACAACCTTAGTGCTGTGAGGAATACTCCAAACTGAACAACGCCCTGGTGGGAGCTGGAGAGATACCATGAAGAGGATACCATGAAGACTTTTGAGAGCAAGTGTCACGAACGCTTTCCCCTGACTTGGTTCACTCCTGACCTGATCTGACTTTATAGCACAGTAATGACAGTCCTGGACCAGTTTCAGTCCAAGCAGCCAGCAGCAGTCCCTCTTGGAAGTGGTAACAGTGCCATCTAAAGGAGAGTAGCCCAAAGTGACAAATCATGGAGGGTAAATCCTGGACATAAAGAGGGAGGGAAAAAAAAAATCCACTTTTGTATGTCTAGTAGTCTCAGAGCAGTTATGTTTGTGCTGAGGACTGTCATGGCCAGAGGCCCTGGAAACTGGGCTAATGCCTTTCTGCCAGTACAGCATGCCCAAACAGCTGGGAACCAGAGTCTGGTTAGCAAGTTCTGCCTCTGAAATTTCAGGGTAGGACTCTGGATCTACAGTGCAGGTGAGGAGAAGGGATCCCTCCTGGGCTGCAGACCCCAAGGGTGGGAGCAGGTAAGGGAAAGGTTTATGCTGGCTATTCTGTCCCATACTCTACATGGGCATGGAGGAGCTTCCAGACTTGCAGCCTGGCCTAGTGCTAGTCTTCATTATAGGGGAAAAACCGCTCAGGGCAGGTCCCACCATGGGGTGCAATCAAGTTAGCTGGAAATGGCAGAACCACACAGATTCCCTGAACAAGAGTTGGGACAGCACTGCTGTACTTGGTGGCATCCCAGCACTTTGTGTCTACCATCACTGGGAAAGATGTGTCACTGGTAACCAATGTGTGCGTTTGTCTCCACACCCCAGTGTGGGTTATCTTTGGGTGGGTACATAATGCACACCTTCCAGACAAGCAAATGCATAGTCCTGCAAAATCTAGGATGGCCAAGGAAAACCTTCTCCCCTCAGATTCAAATATCTGAGGTGTGTATGCTTGTATTTTTCAGAGTAATGTTTCTGTCCTGTGAATGGACGATACCCTACCCAGTATGAGCTATAACTACCTGGTCCAAAGGCTAATGACCCCTTGTGCTAGAGGCAAAATCAGTTGCACTGGTTGTAAGTTGCTTGGCACTTCCCACCATTGCCTCCAAAACAGTAATTTTGGCTAATATTTCAAGTGCTTATCTCAAGCTGAGCTGAAAATGGTTTATTTTCACAACTGTCTCTGAGAATGAGTTTAGGAGAAATATGTCTATTGTTTGTGCCTGGTGGTGGCACGATAGTAAGAAGCCAGCAATTATCTGAAAGACTGGCCTTCTGGCTTTCTGAGGTACTGCTTGCCCAATATTTGCAAATGTGTTAGAATTTGGCCCAAGAATAGGCCTTAGAAAACTGTTGCTCCTCCCTCATCATTATTACAGCTTGGTTAGATTTCATGGTATTTAGCAAGTTCAGTCTTTTCTTTGCTCCTGTTGGAGACCAGAGCAGTTAGAACAACTCAAACTTTTCATTCTGCTCCTGGAAAAAATCCATTCTGGACTCATCAAACCCTGACGGTTTAGGAATATGAATCAAAAACATTTTATTGTGAGACAAACACTTT